ATCATCATCATCATCATCATCATCATCATCATCATCATCATCATCATCATCATCATCATCATCATCGTCATCGTCATCATCATCATCATCATCATCGTCATCGTCATTATCATCATCATCATTGTCATCATCATCATCATCATTGTCATCATCATCAACATCGCTTCTATAGCGGTAACATTGTGGTGAATCTTGGTACTTCACAATAAGATAAGATTTGTTGGACAGCTTGCTTGTGCAGTCGCACGCTCAATGCTCATCGATCCTTTCAGTGTACACCACACACCACTCTTTTCAAATGTGAGGCATCGTGGTGAAATCAAGCGCTCGTGAAAATAATGAAATCCGAGAAATCGGCATTTTTCGGCCAGTTAGGGACATTTTTTCTTCGAATTGTAGGTGTTTTTTTTTTGGCTCAACACCTTGTATGCTCATTCAAAAACAGTTTTATGTGTGAATCTGATGGAAAAACGTTGATTAAAGCCAAAAGAAAAAAGTAAATTTACAGTTTCCAAGAAACTTTAGCTGCCATTTTCTCGCTAATTTTACATCTGGAACCAGGTGACCCCTGCCTTCTTCAATCGGAACAATTTCGACTTCTATTCAAAGATAGATGGGTATTTGTTTTTCATCGAATGCAAGACAAACAAACAAGCTTTGAGATGATATTATTGACTCAACATGCCCCCAAAAATTGACGAGCGCCTGATTCCACCGCGCCGTGAAACATTAATACATGTGTTCATGCATGACGTAAGCTAAAGAAATATCAAGGATGTTCTGACAAAATGTACATGCCGCGTGGTGGAATCGCGCTCTCGTCAATTTTTGGGCATGTAGAGTTATTGATATTGTCTCAAAGCTAGTTCACTTGTCTTTATTTGGATGCAAAAAATATCCATTTGTCTTGAATACCAGTCGAGATATTTGCAAAAGGAGGAGGTGGGGTCACCTGTTTTCAGAGGTAAAATTAGTGAGAAAATGGCGCCAAAGATTAGTTATTTCCTTAGCTTAAGAGTCCTTGGTAACTGAAAATTTACATTTTTTGTGCCTTTAATCAACGGTTTTCAGAAAAGTCCACACATGCATGAGTTCTTTAATGGGCATGAAAGGTTTTGAGCCAAAAAACAAAAATTCTATGAAACTTCCCAAACCAGCGGAAAACTGCCAGTTTCTTCACTTTGATTATTTTGACGAGAGCCTGATTCCACCACGTCGTCAAACATTGATACATGTGTTCATGGGTGACGTAAGCTAACAAAATACCAAGGATGATCTGACAAAATGTACATATTATACACAACACGACAATTAGTTTTTGCGGCTAAAGATCACACCTGTTGCATGCCAGTCAAGGCAACGCTGCAGGGCCGTTATTTGTCGATGCGTTGCTCTTTGTGCAAATTAATTTAATGTTTTGTGTCAATGTGCTTTTCATTATTTAAATAACATGATCGTTATTGTGTCGACGTCCTTGTATAATTCAAATTAGATAAACCGTTTTTGTGATTTCCTAACAAAATTACCCTTATTTTTCGATTAACAACAACGGGTTTACCGATAATCTTTCAAAATTGTCATTACCATAACCACCACCACCACCACCACAACAACAACAACAACAACAACAACAGCAACAACGACAACAACAACAACATTTATGTCCAAGTTGTAAGTGTGGGTGGTTGGCGGGTGCTCGGGTGTAGTTTGTTCGTTTTTTCCTATCCAACAGTTATTGCCTTTATCTCCTCCTTCATTTTGTGTATGTTACTGTTGGCACGTATATGACCTAATTGTGTTGAAAGTGCCGTAAAATTCGTACTGAAACAAAACTAACCAGGTCGTACCC